ACCATTTGATCGATATCGTCTCTCAAATGAACATCGAACTGGTCGTGGAACATCTATTTCTTTTGATTTTGGTAAAGATCTCTCACATGACTTTCTTTCGTATGCATCATCAAATAACATATCACTGGAACATCTTGCACTTGCTACTTATTATGTGCTTTTATTCAAATTAACGAATGGAGAAAAAGATTTATGCATTGGTATAAATACACATGGTCGATATAAAGATGAACTGCACTCTATCATTGGAATGTTTGTGAATGCTATACCTTTGAGATGTCAACTCGATCCTCATTTATCATTTCATAGAATCACTAAGCACGTTCAAGATAACATGATAAATTGCATTAAGTATTCATATTTTCCTCTTCAACGTATTCTCAATCAACATCCAAATATATCAAATCCTGTGTTTCTTGATACATCATTTGACTTTCTATTATCTATGACAAAAGATCAGGAAAATGAAATAATGATTGGTGACAGTCGATTTTCTTTACTACCTTTTTCAATTAAGATTAGTGAAGATGAAATAATGAGTAAATTTGATTTTATTCTGAGTTTTCAACATGATCTGAATCTAAATGAGTTCTCATGTACCATTAATGCTTCCGTTGATCTATTTAATGCTGAAACAGTTTGTATAATTGCACAAAAATTACAGACAATGTTACATCAACAATTCACATCTTTTAATAGTCAAATAAATAAACCTGTTCATGAATTATCATTAACATTATCAAATGAACAATATCTAATGCAATCATTGAATAATACACAAACATCATTTTCATCTCCTCTCACTTGTATTCATCATGAGTTTGTGTATCAAGTCATGAAACATCCACAAAAACTAGCTGTTGAACTAGATGAACAATCATTGACATATTGTGAACTCTTGTATTATGTTCAAATATTATCTTTAACTCTTCTTAATGAATATCATGTGTCTCCAGGTGAGGTTGTGTGTCAATGTGTTGAGCGAAGTCTGTCCATGGTAAGTTGAGTAAGATAAGTAACAATTAATCTGATTTTGAGATTGATTTTGATTAGGTGATTGGTATTATGGGAATTGAAATGGCAGGTGGTGTATATTGTCCATTGTCACCTCGGGATCCAGAACATCGTTTGCATGCACTTACACAGCAAACACAAAGTCGTCTTGTTCTTGTTCATGATTTAACTAAGACTAAATTCGATGACGCTATTATTTCACTTGATGTTGATTCAATATTAATTATTAACGCTCTGAATAGTGACATGGATTCTAACTGTCTTTCAAGTGCGATAGTGAACGGTGGAAAGATAGCCTATATTATTTTCACTAGTGGTTCATCTGGTATTCCGAAAGCGGTACGATAGAAAGATTGTCGCATGATGTATGTTTAACAGTGAAATTTTGTTCTAGGTTCAACTGAGACAACAGAATTTCATCAATTCAATATTAGCTTTGGTTCAGATTGATACACTACACGAAAATGACACTGTGATTCAAATAGCTAGCTCAACGTTTGACGCGCATGTACAAGAAACTGTAGGATCTCTAATCTGTGGTGCGACAATAGTCATGCTACATCCGCAAGGTAATATGGATTTTCAATATATCAACCATATTTTACATGAAAAACAGGTGACATATCTGATAGCGGTTCCGAGTTATCTCAATTATTTATGTGACTTCCTCAAACAAAATAGAGTTCCTCCATGGATGCTAATGAGAAATATTAGCTGCGTCGGTAAGTTTAGAAAGAGCACGCGAAATAGAATAAATACTGATTAACTTGTCATTGTAGGTGAATCTCTGTCACCAACTTTCATCAAAATACTGATGTTGTGTGTTGCCCAATCCTGTCGAATTTGGAATTTTTATGGTCCTGCGGAAGCCACACTTGGAACTTCATGTCATATAATTGATGTGACCTCTCCCATGCAGGATCTTCCAATTGGCAAACTACTACCTCGTTATATATGCTTACTTCTAAACAACTTCTTGCAACCTGTTATGATTCAGGAAGGAGGAGAACTACTAGTGGGAGGACTAGGTGTCTTTGCTGGTTATTTTGGTCGTATGGACTTAACTGCAAAAGCTCTCATTGAAATAGATGGCGAACCATTTTATCGAACAGGTGATCTTGTTAGAATGGATAGCAATGGTCTTCTACATTATCAAGGAAGAAAAGATCATCAAATCAAACTTCATGGACAACGAATTGAACTTGGTGAAATTGAACGATGTTTACTTAATATTACATCTATATCTGCTTGTGTTGTCATGAAATGGAATGATGATTATTTAGTTGCATATGTTCAAAGTTCTGATGCTAATGAACAGGAATTGCGTGAACATTGTCAGTCTCATCTTCCACCACATATGATACCATCAATATTTATTATACTTGATAAATTACCTTTGAATGCAAATGGAAAAGTAGACAGAAAACAACTTCCTTCGCCCGACTTTTCGTTACCGGCTTTGTTATCTTCCGATAAATCTGATACTCCTCTTAATCAGTTCGAAGAACATATACACACTATTTGGTGTCAAGTTCTTGGTTATAATATAAGTCAAATTTCTAAAACTACTAGTTTTTTTAGTGTTGGTGGTCATTCACTGTTATTTATCCAACTTTATCATCATTATCAATCAGTATTTAACTTTGATACTCTTACACTATCGATTGCTCCATTTCTTCAGCAACCAACTATATTTCAACATTCACAATTACTTCAAACAGTTATAACGAATAATATCAAGGCAACACAATGGTACACGTTACATATAAATGAAGGTAAAAATATTTACTAGAAAATTATTAAAATATTTTCTCTTATTTAATTGATAGGTACTGCTTCTTTTGCTCAAGAGCGTATATTTCTTGATGAACAAGTTCGTTTCTCGAGTGATACTGCTATCTATAATGAATTGGATACTTTACAAGTTGTTCAAGGATCATTATCATTCATTCGTTTATCACAAGCATTGCAATATGTTTTGAGTAAACATAAAGTATTACGTACATCTCTCATGTTTAACAATGATAGTAGCAGTTTGAAGCAATGCATCACACATATACATAAAACATTCACAATAACTATGAATCAAACATTCAAAAATGAAAACGAACTTCGAGACATTATTTATCAAACGACTATTAATCCTCATCTTTTCGATTTATCAACTGGTCGTGTTTTTCATGCTGAAATTCTAA